ATGTGGAGCAGTAAATAGGGGATGTATCCAAACTGAGTCTTCAAAGTGCATTAATATGCTCCAGACAAACAATAGCTCTCTTGTATGTAAAGTATACCCAGATAAATGCGATCCAGCCCTGTTGGGTGACCTCCTAAACACTGATCCCTTTGCTTTCCAGTACTGTTTTCCAAATTGTCTTGCATACATGCCTCTCTGAATTAGCAGCACAGGAATCTAAGGTACTGATGAGCTGACTTCTTCCAAAACTAGCTCATACTGGGAGTTATTAGTCTACTGTGGCTTATTATACATTTTTACATATTTGTAATTTTTAGACATTTATTATTTTCTCCCTTAAGCTTGCTAGGTTTACTTTAGTTATTATTTCAATCAGCTTAAGGCCCATGTCAACAAATGATCCGAAGCAGCATATTTGAATTTAATTCCTGGCTGGCATACCTGTCTGCTTTTTCACTAATTAATATCACATTGCCAAGGAGGACAGAGTCTCTAATTTGATGGGAGAAGTTTACTGATGGTATAAACAAGACAAAGCTCCCCTACGGGGATGCCCAGTCCTCTGATGCAGAATCAAATCGAATTGTACAGGATGAGGGTTCTGGCTTTCCTTTCATCGTATTCTCAAGTCATCTTTGCCTCCAGAAAATGCAAACGACAATAACAGGTGTCGGGTGTCAAGTAGAAGCTAAGAATGCTATGGACTAATCCACACTGAAGCTGAATTCCCGGGATGGTCTGGGAGGGAGGAGGAAGGTGAGCTGGAAGAGGGAGAAACAAAAAGCCAGCGAAACCGAGACAGACTGTGCCTGTGACAAGAACCCTTCCTCCAGGTACCCACAATGCTCAGTTCAGACCTTATTAGAGACTGAAGGAGACAGCTGATAGCGACCAAGGATGAGGAAGGAGCCAGCACATCTTAATTTGGGGAAATCAGGGCTAACAAGGGCAAACATGTGTGAGCTTGTACTTCAAAGCCTAGAATTTGGGTTCGAAGCAAAATTTAATCCAACCTCTGAGGACTGATGATCTACTGGGTAACATCTATAGTCCAACAAGTGATGGCAGTCCTACTAGATCTTATAGGAACAGGGAACAAAGATTGCAGCCCCCCTTATAGAAGATGTGCTGAGCCCCCACAGAAGTACAAGAGATCTGTCCTGTGTCTTAGGCCTTAAGCAGAAATATTTGGAGCCAACTGGACACTTCCCTAACACTAACCCAGTGTTTAATGCTAAAAGAAACATGGTAAATTGAGTGAGTTTTTAGATCCAAGCTGCTCGATTATAAGAAAAGCAGGATTGGGAATGAGGCGACTTGAACTCTAACCTCTCAGCTGCCTCTTCGCTCTTCCTTGCCTCTTAACACTTGTCCCCTCTGAGTATGTTTGATTTTAGCCTTACACACACACACACACACCACTACCATTTACAGTTCCAGAGGCCAAGGCCATGTTGAACCCACCACCCTTTCCATCCAATAATCAATCATTCCTTGAAGTTATTTTACTCTCCTAGTTGAATGGAAACAGAGCAGTCCTGAAAAGAAACAATGGTTATAATGTGACGAAAGTGAAATTCTATTATACTAAAAATATAAAGCCATGACTCCTTCTCCGTTCCCACGGATGGACTGGAAAACCACTGTGACTGAGGAAATGGCGAGCACTATTTCAGCTAAACGGCCTCCTTGTCGTCAGCACTCATCTCTGTGAGAAAACCATGTCACCTCCTACCCTTCGGGATTCGGCCATCCAGTTGAGTGGCAGTAGCTGATGTGATTATAAGAGCCTTGAGTGATCTTTTAGATGAGCGCTCTCAAGAGAATGTGGTTTAAAAAGAAATGAGAGCAACCAATCAGCCAGAGAAGTCAGCCCAGCCTACCGGCAGTGTAAATATAGAAGTGGGTGATATTCCAAGGATCGCCTTCACATTTCCACTACAGCAGAGAAAACTCTTTCAGTCAGATGTCCCCTGCTGCTTTACTTTATTACTGTCTATGGAATGTCCATGGTGTCTAGAAATAAGAAAAAGATGGATAAGCTGTCTGACAACCTTAGAACTCTCTCTCTCTCTCTCATGCATGAACACACCAAAAATAAATTAAAAAAAATAATTAAAGTTGTAATGTCTAATACTGACAAAGCTGTGGATAATTTTAAAAAATGATGCCTACAAAAGGAAAAAAAGGGCGCTGGAGAGATGGCTCAGCAGTTAAGAGCCCTTGATGCTTTTGAAGTTTGCTTTCCAGCACCCGAATGGCTGTGGGGTGCAGGATAGGGGTTCACATTCACATATAACTCAGATCCAGAGGATCTAGTGCCCTCTTCTGGCCTCTGTGGGCACAGGCACTCATGTGGGGCACACATGGACAGCCACACAAACAGTCATACACATGAAGTAGAATTTTAAAATACCAAGAAAACTCAGAACCCCTTTAGAATGCTGTTTAGAAGCTCACAGTTGGTGCCTTAAATTTTCCCCAGTGGTGACAAAATAAATCCAGGGAAATTTTCTTAATTAAAGAGCTTGTTAGAAAACTATGACTGTATTTCTAGGGATGCTTATTTTAAACAACTTGAGTATTCAACAATGTGGAACGGAGTAAAAGACTGGTCAGACCTGACTTTGATAGAGGCTAATCAAACCACTCATAAGGCAATCATGAGTGCCCTGTAGAAAGAAATCCATAAAAACTCATAACAATATCCTACGGGACATGCTGGTAGCTGCTTAGAAATATGTAAGGCTGAGTAAAAAGAGCCTTTGGATACGGGACAGCAAGAAATGAATTCCCGCAGAGAAAGGGTGTGAGTCCAGTTCCTTAGCCTCATCTTCTGTTAAAGGTTCTTTTTAGCAACATGAACAAGAGAGAGAGAGTCCAACGTTTAGTCCCTTGGGGTTCATATATTGAGGAAAACATCACACAGTCACCTAAGCAATATTTTTCTTCCCCACTTCAAATCTCAGCATGAGTTTTTCCCAGATCCAGGGCTTTAACCATGTTTTGTTTTAATGTCTCTGGCTACCATGGTTATTCTTTGAAAGTCAAACAGAGTTTACATTGTTCCTGCAGCATCCTCTCTGCATTACGCCATGAGTTATGACACTAGAGCATCCTGCCGCCGGGTCTTTGAAGGCAGACTCGGTAGCTCTTTTCCATTTGTGTAGCCACGATGATGGTCCTCGTTCAGGGTGAATTCTGCTTCCCAAGTTCTTGCTTTTTGTTATGTCCAAATGTCTTATCAAAACTTTCCCATAATGTCCTTCATTATTGGAAGTCAATAATTTTGTCATCTTACCAAAGAAAGGGCAAGAGTTACAGGTATATGGCTTTCTGCAGGAAGCAGAATTTCTCCCAGCAGGTCATGACTTTAGTGGTTACACTGCGGAACAAGAGTGAAATGTTTCCCGCTAGGAGAAAGACACCGCAAGCTCTGCGGGCCTGGGTTATCTGCTAGCCACACACACATATCCTTCTGTAGGTTATGTTTTCCTCAGGTTTCTATGCCGTCTGGAAAGCCACTTGTAGATGGGATATATGAATCAAATGATGAAGAGAATATAAATCAATCTCTTTCCTCTCCCCCCGCCTCCACCCAGTCTCTTGGGTCAGGCTAGTACAAATCGTGACTGTTTTCTATAAGTCTAGACAGAGTGCTAAGATAAAAATAAAACTTACCTCATAGATGTTTGTAATAATTGAGTTAATGAGTGGAAGATTGTGGCTATTAAAAAATACTACTTTATGGCCAGTGAGAAGGTTCAACAGGTAAGGGTGAATCCCACCAAGTCTGATGGCCTAGGTTTGATACCTGGAACTCACATAATATAAGGAGAGATCCAATTCCCTAAAGCTGTCCTCTGACTTTTCTACACATATGCTGTAGCGTGTGCATGCATGCATTTGCACATGCATATACACATACAATGAGATCAATCAAATGTAGAGGTATTTATTATTAATGTTATTAATGTACGTGAATCTGAAAAGAAACACAAAAATGACCACAGGTTACTTGGGAAACAGTCTTCAAAATCAATTAAATTTGTGGTGCACCCCAAACTGCTCTTAAGATAAACACCATCTTTAAGAAGTCAGCTAAGAAGCAACTTTACCTTTCTCCGTGGAAAGAAGAAAGCTGCCTGGAAGTCAATCATGTAGTGAAGGACACTGGGAAATGTTTCATAGACGAACATTTATGTTCTGATGGATAGAAGTATGAGCCACATGAAAACATCATAAGGGGGTACAGCATCTTTTGTTTCTGGGCACTTCACAGGGCTTGGATTCTTTTGTCCTTGTTTCATTTTTGTTTCCCGTTTTGGAAAACAATCACTAGTTCAGAAGGATGCTATGTACCAGCATCCCGCTAAAAGAGGGCCATTTTCTAGCCCAACAGCTGTTACTTTTCTTGTGAAAGCTAACCTTTCAGTACAGCCGTGAGGAGTAAGTCTGGTTGTTTTAATGACCTTCACAGCACCATTGTAAAATAATTTTTAAAAGCCTTTTTTATTCTTGCCTTTTTATCAAATGTGTATTAGCAGATTAGGTAGGTGTTTAAGGATATGTATTTTCAAAATAAACATCTCTAAACGCTACTTTAAGTTTAATAAGAAAAATCTAATGATTTAGACTTTGTTTAACTGAGCTGCTAGGTCTCTTTAAAGTTCTCCACCAAGAGAGTTTATCATTGCCAAGTGACCCTTAATCTTTCAACAAGCACTAATTGGATGGTACCCAGAACCACATTAGCTATTAGCCCCATTGATAACTCACTTCAGCTTTCTTAATGATGAAAAGACTACACAAAGAAAAATAACCCAGTTAAATACTTTGTTCTCAAGTATGTAAAAATTTGGACCGCACGGGGACTAATTATTCTAATAGTTCCTTAACTGTTTTTCTGGCACATTCTAGGAAGACCAACTCCTCTCATTATCTCTGCAGTGTGCTAGGTTGGCTTGTGTTGCTTAGTAATGTATGCCTTCTCTTTTGAGGGTGAGCCTGGATCACCTGGAGAAGCAGGGCAGAGTGGACTCCCAGGACCAAAGGTTGGTACAGATAAAGCCAAGCACAGTCACCTGCTGCATGGTTTCTAAACAGTGTTAAGCTGTCACAGTCTGTTATTTTTCTGGTTGTAGTTGGGGAGACCTTTTTATCATGAGTATAATATGCGGTCTTAGAACTTTATAACTAATGACTAAATTATGCTTATGATTGTCAGTAGCATTAGACACGCAGGAACAAAATAGGATGTGACTGTCTAAAATCTTTCTTGTGGGGCGGGGGAGATGGCTAAACAGTTAAGAGTACCTATTGCTCTTTCAGAGGACTAGAGTTCAATTCTTGGCACCCAATAATAGCTCACGACCTTCCATAAGAAACTCCAGTCCTGGAAGATGCATGCTCTCCTCTGGCCCCCAAGGAAACCAGGCACACATGGTACACAGATACACGCACATGCAAGGAAAACACCCATAATATAATTTAGAAAACTATTTCTTGTGGGATAATTAAATAGCACAAGAAAGCCCTCAAAATGACTACTGACATTTTACCTTTTAGTAAGTTGCGAAAACAAAGGTCATGGTCATACTTCCTCAAATGTACATGTTAGCAAGCCCCACTACAGATAACTTTCAGACAGCCAAGACAGCTTTTTCTCAAGGTTTGGCTACCTTCAGCTTCTATACAACATGGCCAGTTAGTCAGACAAAGAACAGGATAAAGACGTGGTGTGTTTAGAATTTAAAAATGGATATAGTATGAATTACTAAATAGGGAAAAAATGTAATGAGGATATTTTTTGGATTGCCTATTTTCTTGATTTCTTGAAGAACAAATGAATCCATTAAATCAAAAGAGATTGGTGACAGTTTAGTTTAAACCAAGAAGGCAGACAAATCCCAAATCCTTTGATTAGTGAACACCCCTTGAAGTACAAAACTGATGTCTAATCCCATCAACTGTGCTGGTGTGAGTCTGTACCCACAAATGTCTGTCAACTGATTTTACATGGCGCGCTGCTGTTTAGGTGCTACAGACAGACCTAAACTCGTGGACCTGCCCCCCCTCTTTTTTCTTGTCCTAAAGAAGAAGGAAAGCATTCCTCCTGGTAATCCAGGCCTCTTCTGCCTTCTTATCTGTCTTACACTTTACTAAAAAGCTCAGTGGTGGGAGTTAGTTCTCAGCAAGCATTCACAGTTCTCTTCCTGTGTCGCCTGGCAATGCGGCCACCAGGACGGATGTTGAGTGAGGGGTGAGGCCTCCAGAAATGTAGAAAGCCAAGGGGTCAGGTTGATTCCAGAAAATGGAAAGAACTTTGTCTCAAGACTGCTTTCTAAATTGCATTCTCCTACTCTGGTTTTCTTCTTTCCCACAATAACCTCCTTAAAACATTTTAAGCTGTCTGGTCTCCTAGCAACTTTTTTCAATCTCCCCATCAGGAAATATCATCATAAGGTGTATGGACTTTAGAGCATCCCCTATCCGTCCCTGCCCTTTCCTAGAAAGGGGGAACAAATGCAATTCTTTTCAGAGAATAGTTTCCTATTTTAAGCCTTGTGTTTTCTGGCAGGAACCTGACTCACAAAGGCTGCTCCACTCTGGTATCTTGTTCTGCAACCGTTAGTTGCTACCAGTTACAGAACTGATGATCTTGTCAAGGGGTCTAAGTTCTGCACTGAGGGTTTATGATCTATGATCATGTCCAAGGAGTACAGAACTGTATCAGGGGAAGACCCTGAAATAACCATGCTTCAGGACGTGCTTTCATAGACAGCTTTATGGAAGGACATGCTAACACCCACCTTATTGACTTTAAGTATAGACAGATAACGAGTTGCCACACTGTGTCCCCCTTAATGTCCAGGGCCATTCCTGGGTGAACATTTCCACTGCACATATCAGTATCCTTATAGAAGTAATGACTTAAGATTGAAGTGGGTATTGGTATCTGTACTCAATTCTCCCGGATACTTATGCAACTTGTTTTCATATAGAAACTAAAGCCAAAGACAATGCCCTTTATTCTTCACCTGGTGCGATCTGTGCGTGTTCAGGGTCTTCTTTGCTGGCTGTTGCTTTATTAGCTCTTCACTGATATCTCTGTTTTGTGCTCAGGGGGAACCTGGAAAAGAAGGAGAAAAGGTAAGGGTGGTCCTGCTTTGTTTATTACTCCCCTCTTCTGAGCTACGCTCAAACTGAACTAGATGCCTGAGAGGCTGGATGGTGGGTGGACGGACAAATGGATGGACAGATAGTTGTAAGCGGAGATGGGGAAGAGGTAATAAGTGTCCATTTGCCTGTCTTTCAGACTGTCAAATAGTGGAAAGAGAAAATATGATTCTATCTTCTGTATCAATTTTGAGTTTGGGGTTGAAAGGAAGAAGGGAAGGGCAAACACTGCATGCCAGGCTGTATAGTGGCTTTCAGAAACCACTAGCCCTGTAAAAACCCATTCTGCCAGGTGATTGTGGCACACACCTTTAATCCCAGAACTATGGGAAGCAGAGGCAGGCAGATCTCAGTGAGTTCGAGGCCAGTCTGGTCTACAGAGCAAGTTCTAGGACAGCCTCTGAGCTACACAGAGAAACCCTGTCTCGAAACACTGGGAAAAAAAGAAAAGGAAAGAAAACCATTCTGTATACTTGCCAATGCCATTCTGATGTCTTCCTAAACATCCACAGCCGTCTCTGCTGCTGCTCCTGCTGCTGGGGACTCTGGGTCAAAGGTCAAAGGGATACAGATGTTTACCTGCGGGAGTTGTCTAAAAGAGACCCCATAAAGAATCGCCATCAAAACCAGAAAAGGGAGTGAGCAGAGAGTCGGGGTTGCCTATTAACCGCTGTTAGCTGCCTCCAGTATTCCTTGCAGGCCCGTCTCCACAGCATTCAGGTCCCCGCTGTGAACAGCACCATTTATATCCCAGGTCCCCTCTGCGGCTAACTGCCCTGGTGTTTGGCCATGTCTCTGAGTGGAGCGCTACCTAGATACTAGGACACATCCTGGCAGTCCCCTCCCAAACAGTATAACCCTGCTTGCAAATTAAGCTCATCAAAAGATCAGGAAAACAGTCCTCAGTTTACCCGTATTTTTTCAGACTTGTAAAGCAGAAAGAAGGCAATATTAAGTTGGAAGAGCAAAATAAGGGTTTAAAGGCTCTCCGTGAAGGGACAGTCAGGGTCTCTACTTCACAGCTACTCTGAACCCTCTGAGCCAGGTTTCCCAACAAGGAGACTGGTATGTTAAAGGGGTTTCCAAGCCAATTTCTAAAAAGCATAGGAGTAAGCTGTCTATCAACAGTGCCTTGAAGTATGTACTGTGACACAGTATGCTTTGGGGTAGCAAATCAGTTCATGGTAACTGACTTGAAATTAATTAGTCATTAAATAACTGTTTCATGTAGAAATTGGGGAGGGAGAGGGAGCTCTGCCAGTGATCACCCTTCGTGGGTTCATCAGATGGGGTGCTACCCAGCTGGCCCGCTGTGAACAGGCGCCTGGGAGGGTTAAGTTCATGTTTATTTGAAATGGAAAACGGAACTTTCGAGGGAAAAGTGACTATCTCTCTTCTACTTTCTCCATCTTGAGAAACCACAACTAATGGTTTTTCTCTTAAGCTTTGTGGAAGTGTTGAAATGATAGAAAAATGATCTCCTCTGAAGCTAGAATGACGAGCAGCCCAACATAGGAACGCCCCAAACACGGAGGCCCCGGGACCTCCAATAGCAAGGACTGTTTTTCAGAGTGTGCTGGCATGGTTTGAAATGCTGTGTGAGGTATAGAACTTGGTTCTTATAGCTGTGTAGTGTGCCCTTATCCTCACACGAGAAACTCAGCGGAGAGAGCATTGCATTTGCCTGCTGAGTGCCAGGGCTGGACTCTGTTCTACTGAATCTGAAATCCACGACGTTTCCTCTCTTACATGCTATAAGGCCTAAAGGAAAGCATTCGGAGTTTAGCAGGGCAAAGCTCAGAGATAAAACCTTTCCCCTTTGTCCTGCCTGGTGGGCAGGAAGGAGATGTCACTAGAGGAGCAGGAACGTAACCAAAGATGCACAGATTTCCCTAACTCGGTTTACTATAATTTAGGAGGGAGTATATCTAATAAAAATATCAAAGTTCCTTTTTCTGAATGCTGTCTGTGGAGCCCCGAGTAGATAAATACGCAGTCCATTGGCTTTGCAGACCATGGAGTTCACTTGGAAGCCCTGGGGCCTTGGTTGGTTTGAAGACAAGTAGAATTTATACAGCTAGGTGGAGAAAAGAGGCAGGCTTGTACGACATGAAGAAGGGCACAGAGGTAGCAAACAGATGTGCCATGACATCCCGAGGCAAGTGTCAGGAAAGCCCTGCTATGGGGCCCTTCAGGCAGAGGGGGAAATGAGACTGCAGGAGGGAAGCTGGGTGTCCACATCAACCATGAGAAGGCTCACAGGGAAGTCAGGGCTTTGTATTGATACCGTGGTGTTTAAAGTGCTCAGCCATGTTCATTGTAAGAAAAGTAATTGCATTGGCTGGTCAAGTAGATGTTTTTTGGTTTTTGTTTTTGTTTTTTTTTTTTTTTTTGGCTCTGTGAACATTTACACTGGTTTGTAACAAGAGTGTGTCTAAAGGAGATTTGCTCTTCATTTCACGTCACCAGCATATCTAAGTGTATCCCTTTGTCCTCTTCTCAGGGAGATGCTGGAGAAAATGGCCCCAAAGGTGATGCAGGAGAAAAGGTACGGTCTTGTGAAATGCGGAAGGGTATGCGCTTGAGCAAGGACGTTACTGAATGTGTAGGAAGCTGGGAACTTTGGAAGACAGGGTCAGAGAAATCTCCCAAGCCAGAAAACAGTTCAATATTTGTCTCACAAAAATCGATTGTTCCACATCCTATCCACAAATTTAAATATTCTGAGAGTAAAATGGTTTGACAAATTTTCTTATTTCTAGAAAATAAGGAACTTTTCAATGATTGGTTTCTCAAGCAATAAGCACACCTACCCACAAGGCAATGTGTCTTCACAGAGGCCTAGAATGGGACTCCCTCAAGTGACTTGGTCCGTCCTAGTTTTAGAAGGAAGTGTATTGGTGGGCGAGGGTAAGGTTTAAAAGTTTAGTGTTGCGTTAATAGCACTTGATTGCGGTGCTTATGTAGGGAACTCTGGGAACCACAGCCCTTGCATTCCGTCTTCCCCCTCCTTGGCCTTTGGAACATTGATCAGCATTTAGAGTGCATGCGTCCTGGTCTATCTCTGTGTCCTCTCTTGTCTCACCAGTCTGTCATTATGGTGTTTGCTTAAGTTTGCATTTTGACAGCCCTGACTCTATGACACAGTGACATCAAAATGATATTCTCCTGCATCTATGCAATGTGTTCAGATTTGGGAAGAAATCCCATTTTAGAAGCTGAAGATAGAATCAAAGCAGGTGGATGTTAGTGCAAACCAAGCAAGAGACCTGATGAATGGGAAGATAAGTCGCTCAGGCTGACAGTTGAGGGCAAGATTGATCCATTTTGAAAATTATGACTGTACAGATGGATAATGGGTAGTCATAAAAACATGCTCATAAAATATATATATAAACTTATCTTTCTCAGTCTCATAAATATTAATACAAATAGGACATAAAGGGTAAAAACAAATTAATGTCACTAAGTAGCAATTGTTTGTATTTGGGAAACAGTTTAAATTTAGGGTAGTGTCTCAGTTTCTCATAGACCAGGGTGTGTTGGCCTAAACACTATTGACAACGTGAACCAGATAACTCTTCACCTTGGTGTAGATGATAGAAACTTCATCTACACCATGGAGCTGGTCAGCAAGTTTATGTTCTGTGAACTACCCTGACCATCCCTATTTCAGAACCTCTGCTGAAGCTGCATCTTTTTGTCTCCAAATACCAAGCTGTAGTCAAACACGACATGGAAGTATCTAGTCAAATAAGTCCATGGATGCTCTTGATTGGTCTCGGATCAGGGTTTGAACCCCTGGGTATGTAAACCTGGATGATGGTTTATTTAACGAATATCTTTTTCTCTAAAAGCAGAGATAAGTGAGCTTGTTCTATAAATTAATATTTTCAGCTTGGTGGACCACATAGTCTCCAGCACAATTCATGGTTCTGTTATTGTAGCAGAATTCAGCCACAGAAACACACACACACACACACACACACACACACACACACAAAGTAATAATGAGTAGGGCCATGTTCAAAAAAAATTTTATTTCTGGGCAAGGTGATTTTGATATTATGTCATCCGCATATATTTTGTAATATTGTTGTTGTTTTGATTATTTTTTTAACCTTTTAATAATATAAAAGCCATGCTTGACCCAATCTTGCAAATATCCAGCAAGATTTGATAGCAGGGGCTGGAGAGATGGCTCAGCGGTTAAGAGTATTGCCTGCTCTTCCAGAGGTCCTGAGTTCAAATCCCAGCAACCACATGGTGGCTCACAACCATCTGTAATGAGGTCTGGTGCCCTCTTCTGGCCTGCAGACATACACGCAGACAGAACATTGTGTACTAAATAAATAAATAAATAAATAAATAAATAAATAAATAAATATTAAAAAAAAAGATTTGATAGCAGTAGCCAACTTTGCTTAAAACAAAGGAAATACTGTACACAGAAGGCAGCTTCTTCAAACAACAACAAAAACATATAAAATGTGAACTGTACCTATGTGAATTTAAATAGAGCATTTTATGCCTTAGAGGCTGTATTTTTTATTTTTAACTTTGTTTTTGGAATATAGGCCAGCAATTGTTTCTTCACTTACGTGGGTTTTGGAATTTACTTTTGCAACAGTAAAACAATGTTTTTTCCTTGAAAGGACCCAAGCGTCTCCCAGGAAGGTTATTTCGGCCTCATACACAATGCGAATTGGTTGCCATACTGACTCACACACCATAAACTCTCAATAAATGCTAACTTTTCCTACCATGTGGAAATTGAAATCAACGACATGGTTGTTTTTCTTTTCTTTTTTATCAAAAAGTTTTATTGCTCAGCTGAAATTAAGTACAAGAAATGCCTCAGCGAAAGCGGAAATCGATTCTATAAACCTTCAATAGGCCTAAACAGGGGGCTGTAAATAGCAATCTGTAGCGTGTATAATATGTAATCTGACCCATGGCATTCACTCCAAGAATGTAGTGATTGGAATATAATTTTTGATGTGTTTTTTAAACATTTCCTGCTCCTGTCATATAATTTGTTTCCAGCATGTTGGAAACACTCTTCTTGTGGCCTTTTGTCGTCAGTATGTGAAATTCATTCATCACTTTCCAACTTTGAGGGGTAAAATAAAAAAATTAAACTTCTTTTCTGCTATTGATGTAGTAAATTACGTCATTGGCCGAGTCACTTTAATGGACTTTTTTTTCCCCTTTTGATCCAACTCAGCGCCTTCGGATGGTAAAGCAATTTTTACAGTCTGTGGCTTTCCATGCTGGTCGTCTGGAAATGCTGGGAACTATAAAACCACTGACTGGGCCAGGGCTTCTCTGTGGCCAGCAAAACCGTATACTCGGTTTAAGAATAACCTGCCAAAGGCTGATTTCAATCACATGGAAAGTTCCTATGGAAGCTTTGTATTCTAGTCTTTGGGGTGTTAATTCCACCAACAAATGTTCAAATAGATTTCTTAGCCACTGCAAGTGGGTGTCTATACAGCTCACTGAATGGGGGAACCATAGTGCTGTACCCATGTGGTGGTGTTATCGGCTGAGCCAAGAGCTCCATCTTCACGCTGTCCCTTACCTCCCTGTGTTCCCATGACCTCATTCCTATGCATGCCCTGCCTTCTCGTTCACCATCTTGAACTCAAGCATCTGGCCTTTCACCAGGCATGTCGTAGTTGCGCTTACCAACCATGCTGTCTTAAAGACCACACCTGGAGGACTGTGTCAGAGGACACTCCAGGGCAGTCAGCGCCTGGTCCTCTCCAATGCTGCCCCAAGCCATTCTTTGTTTAGAAGCCTGCTTTCTGCCCTCCCCCTCCCAGCTCCACATCTTCCTTTTCTGGCTTTGTTCAGTCTTCAATCTTTTGAAGTTTGGATTTACAAGTCATTTCCTAGGGACGCTCTTTAGTCTCCTAACTGTTCTTTACTGCAATTTCTTTATTAACTGGACACAGCGCTCACTAGCAAAGGAACAAACATGCACAAACCCATGGGATACTGCCTAGTTTCATTCCTAGTTAGGGTAATAAGATCTCCTGACCACCCCCCCCCCAAATCTCCTTACAAAAGTGAGGAAGAAGGGGTTTATTTGCCTCATAATTTGAAGTTATAGTCCACCACTGTGAGGAGATCAAGTCATGAGGCAGCTGGTCACATTCCATGTGCAGTCAAGATCAGAAAGCATTGAATTAGTATGTGCACGCTTGGACTAGTCCAAGGCCTAGCTTATGAAACAGGCCCACACCCAGGGTGGGTCTTGCTACCTCAACCCAATTAAGAAAACCCTACCTAATCTAAACAACTCCTCGTTGAAGCTCCTCCCCCAGGCCATTCTATATTGTCAGGTTGACAAAACTAACAATCACAGCCTCGCCCCTTGTCAATCTGACACCAAGCACATTGTTTTTAAGCTTTTATCTTCTATCCTTTGTCCCTGAAGTGAACCCAACAGCTGGATGATGCCAATCGATTCTAGTCCCAGCACTAATCCAGTTTCTTAGAAAATTGTTCCAAGATAATAAATACTGTTTGAAAAACCTTTGTTTCTTATCTTGAACAACTTCATATTTTTACTGAATGGCAGGACATTTCTATAGCCTGCAATTGTTCCTTCTGTCTTTATTAACATCTTATTTAATTACTTGCTGAGTACTGCATTTGAAAACAATCGCTTCCAAAACCAGTGTTTGACCAAAAGTGAAAACCAGGAAAGTCACCATGTCATGGCACATGCCTTTAATCCCAGCCCTTGACAGAGGGAGAGGCAGATGGATCTCTCTGAGTTCGAGACCAGCCTGATCTCCATCGTGAGACCCCTGTCTCGAGAAAAACCAAACGAAGCAATAAAACAGCAAAGCCAAGTTCATTTATCTCACAGAACTTCTCCATCTGTGGCTTACTCCACTGACTGATGAAGACAGGCATCTACGTAAGCCCTCGCTGGAAGGCTGTGTCCCACTTTAACCCTATAGTCTCTGACACTTTGGGGATAGTGTTATAAACGTCCCCTGCTTGATTTCAACTACTTGGAACACTGTCTCTCCCAGAAGTTGCCTTGCTCTTAAAAACTGTAGAAATTCCCGGGGATTTCACAGTTCTGAATCTTTAAAAAGTGAATAAATGTATGAGGTGTCCATCAAATGAAGCCTCTCATATTCCCACAAATAGACCATGGTGGACCTTTCCCTCCCATCCACTTGCTCCGAGGACAAAACCGAGTCTTTAGTCACATATAGTAGGTGAGCCAAACTCTCTTGTATAAACTACAAGCAGTTAACTAAGAACTTGGAGGTAATATAAGAACTACCTCTAATTTACCTGTCTTCTCTAGCCTTTGGGGCCCTTTGTCAAAATGATATCAGCCAATAATCCTTTTCTTAGTCTAATATAAAGAACAGTTGAGGAAGCGCATACTTTGCTCCGCTTGTAGCTGCTTTGGTTTCCTCATCCTCTAAGTGGAAGCAGCAATGTCTTCCCTGCATGGGAGTTTAAGGCATAAATAAGACAGATGGAGCTTTGCAAAGTCAAGTTGCCTTTATGAATATAAAGGTCATGTTATCCATAGTATTGCAAACCGGTTCGTTAATGTTGATGGCTCCCAGACTCAGTTTAGCAGAAATAGAAACAAGTATTATTTTCTTCACCATGTTTATTTCACCCCTCGTTTGGAACTCATTTGAATGTTAATGGTTGCGACAAGCAGACTCATTCATACAATATTTAGAGCTCGCTTCTTTGTTTAGCCATGTTTTAATTTTTCCTTGGGTAATAGCAATTACAGATGTCAAAGAAACTCACATGTGCACTCCTTTCCTCAACAAACTAAATTTACTATTTCCTCCTCTTCCTAAGCCCTTGGTTCCCCTTTCCTGAAGGCCTCTTTTCATTTTGATCCTTGACTGCTGACCCGACTGAAAACATTGTTTTTCAGATGGTCATTCACTCGTTCACCATGTGTATGTAAAGCATCTGCTGTGGTCAGGATGTGGCGTCCGCTCCCATGCAGCTGTCTGTCGGCTAACAGGACAGACAGATATACAAGCAACGCCCATGACAACCACAACACAAGCTGTGCCAGACACAAATGAAGTATGTAGCTACACAGTAGGGTGTATTCACGGCGGGCCCCACGGGGAGAACTGGTGAACGGTTCCATGAGAACAGAATTGTGTAAAGCAAGACCTGAGGTACCATCGTGGGAGGATGTGAGTGGAAATGAGGATAGGAGTCAGGTGCTGGTCAGTGCACAGGGACCTGAGGCCTCTGTCTGTGTGTCTGTCTCTAAAAGAGATTGATGAGCAGCTTCTGAATTCTGGGAACAGAACCCCGGAGATGCCTGAGTGTTTGTACACAAGACGGAGCTTAGGGACTCTCAACTCTAGCCTCCTTCCTTCAATTTTCTTGACCGTCACAAATGACTAAGTCCCCTCCTTTTCGTAGTCTTTCCTGCATGTCCCTAGGTGGGAGAGGACTGGAATGAGGCTGAGAATCTAGGCTTTTTGCTGCCTCATTTACAAACAAGTAACAGTCCCACCTCTTCTCCGTGCTCCGGTCTGCATTGGTCCCATCCTTAGGATGGTGTGTTTCTAGGAGTGGAGTCATCCTCCATGAAATCTGGACAGACCCAGTCTTTTAAAAAGCCAAGTTCCCCCCTAATGGCCACCTCTTCCCCACCTCTATGTCAAAACTAACATCCTGTGACTGGCAGATAAAAACGTTTTGGAACCTATCAACTTAGCAGACCAGTGCCTTCTACCAGCCCCAGAGCTAAGACTGTCGTCAGGTAGCTCCCAAAGTCTTGGGAAAAGCTTTCCCCATCTTGCTGTAACCACCTCTCTGACGTACCCACCAGTCCATCTTAAATTTATCTTGATGGATGACTTTCTTTGCTCTATAAAACTGTAAGACTTCATGAATCTGTTTCCATGTTGAAACATGAAATTGGGGCTACCCAAATCTGTTCTCCTGGACCAGGAGACCATGGAAAGGAAAACAATCTCTTAATCTCTTTAAAAAGTTAAAAGTCAGATTCTCTCTCAAGACTTTCTTAGTCCCTCCGTGGATTCCCATTGCCCAGAAGTCATTCATCATCCGGTGACCCAGTTACGGTACAATGAGGGTAAGGCAGGAAAAGGCATGCTCCTGCCTCGTGGTGGCGACACACTGATCTGCAGCATGGTTTCTGCACCTCAACATCATTAACCTTTTGGCTTCATCTGTTGACCCTTGACCTTCCAAAGACCAAGAAGGGCAGGAACTCCCTGTAAATTGCCCGTGACATTAATAAATCCCAGAAGCTAAGAAAACTGCAAGTTTCAAATCCCTAAATTAAAATTCATTGTCTCAGAATGCATTTTTTAGCATCTTATTAAGGAAATAGCTTCATGTTTGTATATTTTTTAGTTACTTCAAGAAATATAATCTTTTCGTGGTTTTTATTCAAAGTAAACCCATGATTTTAGGCAAGGCATAGTTTCTCTTACATAATGTTATCATATAATGCCTGGACTTATTGATGGACAAAGAACTGGGGGGCACACTTAGGCCCCTTGGTCATACATAGAGTCCCTCTGAGCATCCATATGAGTAACGGCTGCCTAAGTGTTTGCATTGTTGTCACGGTACTTATGGCATAATCTCTCCCGGGTTTCATTTTAGGGTGATCCAGGATCATCAGCTGCAGGAATTAAGGTAACTATAGCCTTGTGCATGTTTGTGCCCTGGAAATCATGGTTGTGACTTTATATGAGCCTCCTTGTTTTTTTAGTTTAGCAGCAATGACGGTTGTAGCTCTGGTCCAGTTCTCTGACAACAGCTTGCAAACACAACAGGGAAATCCCAGGCAGTCTTAGTAGGAGGGCTTACTATCTCTTCCATGTGTCCTTGGTTTCCAAGAAATAATATCTTTATATGTGAGTTCTCTAGACATACTCACAGCAGTTTCCTTATGTGTAGCATGGTGGAGAATAAGAAAATGGTGCACACAAAATGTATGTAATCAAGTAGGCAGTTGGATTGTTACTGTAAAACTGCCAGAGGCGTAGTGGTTTTCTAGAATTCTTCCTAGAATTCTTCCAAGAATGCCCTTTTCATCTTTGGTTTTCTTTGGCCAGGGAGAACCTGGAGAATCTGGTCGTCCAGGACAAAAGGTAATATCTCTCTGTCCTAGCTATGCCCTTTGGATCTGTCCATGATCGGGATTTCACATCGTTGTCATCTAACATGGAGACATTTGTCGCACCATGGTCCACTTTTAATGCTTTGCACAGTGTGACTGCTTGCTTTCCTTGTTAAAAGGCCTTGATTCCGCGCACAGCAGTGTGAAAGCAGACGCTGTGTATGTACTCTATATGTACTCAGCTGTTTGAAACTAACAAATCTCAGCTGAACTGGAATGCCAGTTCGCTGCCTTGCATGCTTAAATGTATTCTGTATTTTCTGCATTTCATGAGAAGAAAATAAGTATATACTAAACAATCTCAATGGAGAATGATGGACAGTTTTTTTTTAAATATACCTCTACTTCCATTCATTTGCCAATGCTTTCCTGCTAACGTGTGTCATGAATGTTGCCTTACAGAAACTAAATTTGTTTAAAGAACTAAATTTCAATTAGCGACGCTATACACATACCACTTTCCCTAACTGAGCTGCGGGTACATTAAATTTATCATCTGTGCTTCTTCACTGAGCGCTTCTGCTCATTTTTCCTCTGAGTCTGAGGCAGGCGACAAATGTTAGCAGTGTCTCAACTGAGCACCAGGGTCTCAATGTCCAGTACAGCCAAACCTTACATAACAGACGAACTGTAGTTAACAAGAAACTGTGAACTCCATAGGACAAATTCCTTAAAACCATGGCCTCTCCTTTGTCCAGGGGTAGCTGATGTTGTAGACAGAATATGAATTCGGACATAACACGTAGCTCATTAGCAGAGAGGAAAAGATAATCAACCCTAGTGCGGTAGTTTGGAACCTAAAGTTGAGAATTTACTGTATGGTCCGTGTTCTTGACACCATTGAGAGAGCTTGTGTTTAAGCACTTGGAATGGAAGTAACTTCTGAGAAGGTTTGCATGTTGTTTAGACATTTCTCTGATGGAATGACTATTTTTCTCTTGAAACTGAGAATCTCAGAATTGAATCATCAGCTCTGCTTCAGGTGAGACGAGAGCCTAGCATAGCTCTTCCAGCTCCTCCTTTTCTGATCTGTCCCTTGGTCTTCAGGCTCCGAGTTTAACTCAAGAATCCATAGAACATATTTTAGATAAATAGGTTGCAGTAATCGCCTTCTTCCTCTACTTCCCAGTTAATGTAGAGCAACAGCACTCCCAGCCTTTTGTCGGTAGCATGTGTATACATATGTCAGTCATACATACAACCAGTCATAGATTACTCTTCAATGTGTTCCAGTGAAATAGTTCAAATGCCTTTTGGAAAGAAACCTCGGAGGTCACAGTGTTCTTTCTGTGGCTCCTCTCAGTAGTAACAACTTCCCACAAACGTGTCCAGTTTTTCCCCTTGTGCTGATTTTTTTCTTTAAGAAAATCAAACTTGCCAGCATATGTGGTCTTTTTTTCTCTTATAGGATGAGCACTGACAAGGTGAATATCTGAACCTTCTAATTGTTCCTCTTCCCAGGCTTCATCACGGGCATCATAGCAGACAGCCCTCTCTGGCCTTTTAAGAAGAATTGTACATTTACTAAAAACAAAAGATCCATGGTCTATTTTGAAAAAGCAACTGATCTTAGATGATGTGATTTTTGGGTCCCTTAGTCTAAAAAAATTAAAGATTTTTCTTAAATTGCCCTCCAAATTTGTGATTTGCTCAAAGAAATGTCAGTAGGACCAGGCTTGGTAGAATGTGCCTCTAACCCAAAACTCAAAGCTGCAGCTGAAAGACCTGGCATTCAACACCCACCTGCCTTACTTAACAAGAGTCAAAGGAAAGGAGGGGCTGGTGAGCACACACGTGAATAAATAAATAGGCAGTCTTTTTTTTTTTTTCAAAAGCAAAGGAGGGATTCACCTGCAAAGTGTCTCTAAAATACAAGCCAAAACAAATCTCAGTAAACTTGTGTAGGCACTGTTTCCACAGTACAGGAACAAATTTGACCTTCCGTTGCTTAGCATAAGATTTCATTATCATGATTATTTATAAAAATAACTTAGATTCATTATGGACAATTATAGCCTGGAGGCAGAAACACTGGATTTTCTTTACATTTTATCAAAAGTAGACGTAAATGACATCAAAAGAAGCTTTTGTCTGGGTGAATGCATGGCCCGGAACAAACAGCATCCTTATTATTAATATTTACTTCAGATTCTACACTCTGACATTATCCCACCTTCCTACGATTGTTTGTCTTCCTTTGTCTAACATCAGATTGATAATTTCCCCAACGTTGGAAACAGCATTTCCATGTTTGCTGCTTGGTCAACACTGACAAATTGGCCCAGGTTTCCAGTCAGTGCTGGAAGTCATCTGGTATTTTTGGGACCATTGCGGAGCTGTGAGTGGTGTTCAATGACACACTAGTTCCTGAATTTAGGGGTGTTCCCAGAAAAGTACAAAGTGCAACATGGCTCAAGTCAAGTGGTGGGCCTTCCCCCTGAGATCGTGTCCAGTGTTTATCTGGAGTGATACAGAAGTGGAGGACTCAGTTCATCATGCCTTCTCTGTGGCTTCAGCAGTAGGGTCACATGGAGGCTTGTAGAGACACTATAGACTTGGAAAGTGTGAATCGTGTTTCACTGCATAGTCCTTGCCTCCCTAACCTTTCCCCAGCTCTTAAAGTATACATTCTAGCATTGTCATTTGATTCCCCATCAGAAGGGACCCTTGCCAATGAGCTCTGTAGATACCCAGGACACTCTAACAGAGTCCCAGGAGTAAGGTATTCTCAGACCAGAGAATAGGGCGTTAAAAAGGAAAAATAATAAAATCAGATATATAATGTAACTGTACAGTTGAAACTCTTGAACAAGGACCCTCTGAATAAAATAGCAAGCTGACTCTTACTTATGACTTATATCTAACACATTAACTGTGCTCCCAAGGCTCCTGAGCCATGGCATAGACAAGGATGGCCAAGTTAACTAAATTTTTCTCTTAGTTGGAAGCCAAGCTTTCTACAACATAAAGATAAAGAATTCTGCAGAAAGAAATGTCTTACTAAAATTGTGAAGAGGTGTTCCAAAGGAGAGCACTAATAATATTATCATCTCTCATTGTGTTAGCTAAGAGCAGAAAGTAAATACAAATTTGGAAAGGTAAAAGTCACAAACCATTCAACATTATAAAATATGAATATTTGAGATATTTAACTAAATCATACATTTATGACCAACCACATGTAGACATACACATATACACAAATGATGGAGAGAAAGGCCAAATACTCAACATTTAACATTTTATTATCTTATATGTTATCCTGTAATGTCTTTTTCATATTTTCTCATTAGAAAACATTGTATGTGTTAATCATGCATACATGTGTATATCAATTATTTCTTTAAAGTATCTATGTGGTCCTTTTATGTTGGTAGAGAATTGAGTCGTAAGAATTCTTAATGGAAAATTATATTATAACCTATTTATTTCCACACATGTTTCAGATGCAATATCATCATAAGCGTTGGGAGAGACTTTCTAAAAAAAATCCTAAGTGTTATTGGTTGGCTATTATTATGCAATTGTGTTTTCAAAAACTTTATACTATTTTTAAGCAAAAGGTAAAATTCAGTAAAATATGGATTAAATCCTTTTCTTTTAGGCCCTCTTAATGTTACTGATTAGAGGGTAAAAGAGAAAACAAAGGAAAGGCAATGTAAGGTGTTGTAATCCTGTGAAGTTTAATATACCTTGGCACCTGGTCTTGGGGTGGAATAACATCAAGTTAGCATTCCTTTCTTCTCTAATTCGATTTCATTGTAGTCATATTTATAATGCATACTTCTGCACAGAATGCCTTTTCTTTTGCATCCCTGAAGTACCTTTAACAAGCAGCAAGGGAGCCGTTGCCTCCCCCACTTTGTCTAATCACTCAGCCTGATAAAATGTCTAAAGGCTTAATGTTATAACACCAGAAGAAATTCTAGCCTTTGGTAATCAGAAAGGGCAGGTAGTGGAGATGGAAGATCCACTTGTTGTTAGCAGGTGTTCCTTGAGGTAAGGCTTATTCAAGGGCCAGCAGAATGGCTCAGCAGTTAAAGCGCTTTGCTTCACAAGACTTACAACCTGCACTTGATCCCCAGAAGTCACACAGACATGGAAGGAGAGACCCACACCCACAAAGGTGTCCTCCGACCTTCACACAGGTGCTGTGGTAGACATGCACACATGCTCAGGGGTGATAAAATAATTAAAAATTAAAGATGATGGAAGCATTTAGGCTACAAAACATGCCTCCCCTCCCACCCTCCTCGTACCGCTCCTGTGTACACACAGTTCCAACTGTGGAAATAGTTGCCGTCTCCGTCACTGACCATCACAACACCCTATGATTGTATTAGCTTCTGTGTCGCTTCCACCGAGAACAGGCAACACTTCATGGCAAATATATTTGCTCCTGATTCCTTTATTCTTTTGTAGTAGACTTGAAGAGAATTTCTCAGCAATGCAATCTCTTGTGCTTAAAATAACATAGACAATTCTGTGAAAATGAGAGGGTTTAGCCTGTCTCCAGCGTGCCTACCCAAGGCATACTTAATCTCTGGCCTGTGTTCAGGAACAGCCGTGTGGTACCATTAGCCCAACACTGCCAAGCAAGGTCACCCTAACCCAGCAATTGTTAGGAACACAGGCTGGACCGAAGCATATTCTTAACCATTTACTTATCTTCTCAGCCTTCAGGAATGAAAAGGAAATCTTACTATGCTTTTAAGTGAGCAACATGCTTGACATGTATGCTTTCCTGGGGCCATCTGTTCATGCAAGTCTCTTGATTATCTAAGCAGGGAGAGCCCTGGGAGAAGACACGTTATTGAAGCAAGCAGCTCCAGCAAATCCTTGGCCAAAGGAGTCATAAATGCAGTCTTTCCTCCTGTATGGCTCTCTCATGCCATCTGATAGAGATGCCAGTAGGCAGAGAATGGCAGGAAAAGGCCAGTGTCTTAAGAAATCTGCCAAGTGGTCAGACAGTTCCGGAGCAGAGAGTTGACCGAGTTGAGTGGTCTCAGCAGACTCATTTCCCCTCCACGGTCTGTTGTATATATTTCTCTCTGCAGAAACTGTTCAGCTGGGACATTTGCCGTGTTTTTCTCTGATCCTGTGACTGAGTGCATGTTGCTCTGTAATGCATTGTGATTTTCCTATGTAGGGTGAGCCAGGGCTGCCTGGACTGCCTGGACTCCCGGGGATCAAGGTAAATACTCCACTGACCAACTTCATGGAACTATGAGTATCCCACATTGGAGGAAAATGGGGGAAAAGAGTGAATACTGGTCATTAGCTATTCTGAATTTATCTCAATTGATTATTTCATTTGTTAAATTCAAATTGCACACAGGTGTTTAAAGTTGGTCCTTGCCATCCAGGTTGTATAGTTCGCTGCTCTCTTTATCGTGCCCCTTAGATAAAAGTAAATGGCATTTCAATTAGAATCATGCCAAGTTTTTAAAGTCTAGAAAGAATGTCTCTTTACTTTTAACTTTTGACTTCATTTCTAAGGTCCTATCAAACTTTGACCAGAATTCATCTTAGCATGTCTGTAAATCACACACTTGGGCAACCATGTATGTGGTTCACCATTATTATAGCCCCTCTGAGACCCCATGCTGCCCCTTCCTGTCATTCACCCCGCTGAAAAACTGAAACCACACTGCTAAAATGTTCTGACCTACCACACGCACTTTCTGCATAAACTCTGTATGCATCTTTTGAAATAATTGCTTACGGTTTAGGATTAAAACGCTGTTTTAAGATTTAAAGATTCTTAAGCCGCTTAAAATGTTCTTTTGAAAAAAAGACTTTTCCCACGGCAGCAACAAGACTTAATGTTCTATTATCTTAGCTATAGTCATTCCTTGAGAATAAACTTCATATATATCCCAGAAGTGACAGGGTAGCAATCGAGTACATCTTCTATTCTAAAATTAATGTTCATACTTCAGTTCTGCATGCAACTTACAGTGTGTTAACTGAAGTTAGTATGATTCTACAATATTAAATGCCTATGGTGCTTATAATATTATATAAGTGATCAACACACACAGAAAAACCATGTCTTCTAGGTCGGCAGTCAGAAACTCTGGTTCTAATATTTGTTGGCTGTTTCTAGATTACTATAAAAAGTTCAGGTTGCGTTTAGTATACGCTTTGGCTCTTTGATAGGCAGGGCACTCTGAAACATATTGAGGCATCAGATTCACTTACCTATCATTTGCTGCTTAGCGAGAATGACATCCTAGTGCATATTAGGGGGTTAATTTATGACAGCTCTTTAGTAACTTCCAAGCATAAAAATGACAGCTTTTTACAAGTGACAAGATCATAAACTTTTCAATGATTTAAGGACATGTTGCTGGGTGTTAATTAGAACCTGGTGGCATTACAAGTCATAATGAAGACATTTGAGTCAAAGGACATTGGAAGGACAGGAAAGTTCCTACAACAAGAACTCTGGCTATCAGGGTGCAGGCTCAGCTCAGGAGAGCCTCGGTGCTCTGAAACTGACTTGTCTCTTCTCCTGAGCCTTAGACGCTCTCTTGATGAAAAAGAAGAAGAATGAAAGCATTATTTTTCCCAAGTACAATACAAATAAATATACGTATAGACATAAATGCTTTCGATGCTACTGTATTTGTGATCCCGGTCTTACTTCAGTGTTGTATGTCTATACTGACGCTACGTCATGACTGACTCTTGGCCTTTTCCTATGATCTTTTCAGCCACCCATGGCCTATTCAGGAGGTCATAAGTTCTCAGGTTAGGGGGTTCATTGCAGGTCGCCACCTCTATGATATGCTTAAGTTCCCCCAACCTGAGAAGTGCTAGAAATCCTCTGTTGAGGTGGTGGGGCTCTGGTACTGCCCTCCTGTGCCTGACTACTGACAGAGCCGAGAAGCTTCCAGTTGATAAAAATTCTCCATTAGTCACTAGAGATGTTTCTCTAGGTCATCTCAGTGCCATGCTTGGGTCACCGTCTGGGGCTGGAGACAAAATCATGAGCTCTGGTTTTGGTGTAATAAGTTTTGTCTTCTCACTCTAATTCAAATGAAAGATAAGCTTCCCTTACACTATAATAAGTGCTAATAGTAAATAAATAATAATCAGTAAATAATTTGGGGCGAAACAATTTAAAACCACTTTAAGGTGTTCATTGTATATTCATAAATATAGACTTAAAATTTTGTAATATTTGACGGCCCTACATTGACTCGAGATGCTCCTTACTAATTTAATTTGCTTCATTTTGCTAAGGTGGCAGATGACAGGGTGGCCGATTCTCCTTTCATCGTTTTAAGTTCTTAGCCAGGATTTAAAAATTGAAACCCTTCTGTGTGACCTACAGGACGGGTGGTACCGAAAACATCAGTCATGATCTTAGGCCTGTGTGTGTGTGCGTCTGTGTGTGTGTGCGTCTGTGTGTGTGTGCGTCTGTGTGTGTGTGTGTATGTGTGTGTGTGTTTATGCTTTGGAAATATTTCCTGTTGCTACTCATGCCCTTCTTATCTGCCATGATCGCATGCTGGCCGTTATGTCTAGGACACGGAGGAAAGCAGTCATTACATACCAGAGAAGCTTTGCTTTGCCACCTGTTGCTCTTGGGGAATAGTTGGAAGCTTAATGAGCACCCACATGCCTTCCCTGGCCCTCAGGAAATGAACCAAGTGCCTAAACCCTGACAGCAGACTCATCTGTCTCTCACCTGAGCGGCCCACTCTGAGGAAAGTGCTATTACTGTAGGCATGCATAGGGGAAGTCACTGAGACCCGGCCTGACTTCATCTCAAGCTGTTCTTAGGCTTCCTGCACTATTTGAAAGTCCTCTTGCCATGTGGAAGGCATTTGGAATTCCTATTTCATGCATTCATGGTTCATATAGTGTCAAGATGTTCAGCTGGGAAAATTAAATTATGTACAATGTACCATGCAGAAGTTGATCTTCTGGAGTAAGATTTGAGCTTAGAAAATTAGTTTTATGAACAAGCTTTCAAAAATATTAAGAGTCTTTTTTTCCTTCCAGTATCTTAGAGGAAAATAAGCATTGTGCCTACTTTTTCTGATATAAGATAAAAACATAAGATTCTAGGTTATTCTTTTTAAAAAATCTTATTCTAGACACTTACTTTGAAAAATATACATACATTGTTTACCCATTCTCGTGGTTCCATTTCCCTCATAAATAAGCAGTTTTGACCAACAACCCTAGAACAAACCAAACCATAGCTTTACTGGTCCTGTGACCCAGGGCAAAATTTGGAATCTCTCTGTGCTTTGGTTTTCTCATGAGAACCAACAGTGACCAGAGCACAGAGTTCTACTGTGAGAACGAAATGAATAAATGTGTGCATAGCTCTTGAAATCTCCCCCAGCATATGGCAAAGGATTGCTGTTACTGCTTCTTGTGGGACAGCTCAGAATATTGGGAGCATTGCTTATGCACCTGTTCAAGGTAGTCTTTCCTCGTGTAAATAATCTTAACCTGGAGAAAATACATCTAGCCATGCTTTACATAGATACAAATTATGGATCCCTCTTTAAAGGGATGAATGAATAAAACCATTAAAAGCAATAAGAGCACCCACTTTCCCTACTTCCTGGGTGTATTCCAGGAGCAAAAGGCAAGGGTGCTCATGGCTTGGAGATGAGAGAGGCCTTGTGAACCTTCTTCTTCCTGACTGTTCATGGGGAAAGCCAGAGGACAACTTGACACATCCCATGGTGATGTTTGTCTTTCCAGGCCTGACTTACTTCACTCAGAATAATGGTTCCTGTCCCAGCCATTTATCTAAGAATTTCATAATTTTGTTTTTCTTGATGACTGGATAACTTTCCATTGTGTGGATGTGCCACATTTCTGTTACCTGTCATCTCTTAGTGGACATCTACACTGTGTCTAATTTCTAGCTCTTGTGGATGGAGCAGCAGTGAACATGGATGAGCAAGCATCTCCATAGTGAACACTAGAGTACTTTGGGAAAATGCCTAAAAGTGGTCCGGCTAGATCATGTAGTAAATTTGCTTCCAGCTTTCTCAGCAATACCCACACTGACTTCTGTTTGCATTCCCACCAGCACTGAGTCAGTGTCTCCCCTTCCCAATGTCCACGCCAACATTTGTCACCATTTGTTTTCCTTTTACCTTGTCCATTCTGACTAGGGTAAGATGAAATCTCAAAGTAGTTTTAATTTGTATTTTTACATAGCTAAGGATGTTGAACCATTTCAAAACTAAGTCTCAGCCATTTATCTTTCTTCTTTGGAGAATTCTGTGTAGTTCCATGGCCCATTTTTAGTAGGGTTGTTCGTTCTCTTAATGTTTAGGGGTTCTGTTTTAGTTCTTTGTATGTTATAGATACTGACCATCTGATAGATATATAGATGGTCAAGATTTTTCCTCATTCTCTAGGCTACCTCTTTTAAATAATGGTATCTCTTGCCATAAAGTCGCTTTTTTGTTTCGTGTGGTCCCATGTTGCCTGTTGATCTTAATGCCTGCGCCATCAGGATCATGTTCAGAAATTCCTTTCCTGTGGTGACTTTCTCCAGGGTGTCATATTATTCTGGAGTCCTCGATCCGTTTGGAGTTTAGTTTTCTGAGAGTAAGAAATAAGAATTAAGTCTCATTCTTCTATGTCTATATGTTCTTCTATCTCCAGTTTGAGTGGCAATATTTGCTCATCTGTTGAAAATGTCTCTTCTGCAATGTGTATCATTGGCCTCTTTGTCAAAAAAAAAGCAGCTGACTATAGGAGTCTGGGTTTATATGTGGGTGCTCAGTTCTATTTCATTAACCAATATGTTTGTTTTGATGCCAATACCATGCTGGGTTTTTTTTTCCCCTGTAACTCTATAGGAAAACTTAAAATCTGGGGTGCTGATACAACAGCAATATTTTTTAATTGTTTTTTTTTCAATTTGACTATCCTGGGTCTTTTATATTTCCATATGAAACTTAAGGTGTTTTTTCAGTATCTGTAAGGAATTGCATTTTGGAATTTTGCTGCGCATTTCATTGAATCTGTAGATTGCTTTTTGTAGGAGTTTGATAATATTAACCCAACCAATCCATGAGTGTGGGAGGTCTTTCCATCGTCTGCTATCTTCTTCTGTTTCTTTTTCAGGGTCTTAACGTTTTCATTGTATAGGTCTTCATTTTCCTCGACTAAACTTTTTCCAAGATATCTTGAGGCTCTTGGAAA